GTCTTATCAGTATCTTCTTCATCAGTATCATGTTCTCCAATTTCTATTGCATAATGATATTGACCAACATATGAAATTGGATTTGGTTGAGGATCCGTTAATTTTGTTATTGAATGTTTTGATGATGTACTAGCTGTTCGTGGAATAACTTCATAAACTTTCTTTTTAGATTTTTTTTTTCGTTGTTTCTTTTCTTCATCTTCCGATGAATCATCTTGTTCATCAATACGCGCATTGTGAGGTTTATTTTTCTGTTGACTAACAAATGATGTTTGTCTTGAACCATTATCAGATGAAAAACGAGGTGGAATATAATTCGAAATTGAAGGTCGTATTTCTAATGTAGATAATTCTCGATCAATTTCAGTTATATTATCATGAATATCAGTTAATAATCGTTCGCGCATAGCATTAGCTGTAAAAAGACGTGCATCACTAACTGATGATCGTTGTATAGGATTCGGTGGTATATAACCTGATGATAAAGAACTCAGATTTGATCGATGACGTGCAAGAGGTTTTAGATCATCAAATATCGATATTGGTTCAGATAAATTCGAAATAATTGGTAATGATTGAGGTTGATGTTGAACATTTGCTGAAGTATTTCTTGAATTCAATGGTATATTTGGATAAAGTGCTTGTTCCGTATGTTGAATAGGATCATAATTTTGGCGATTACCATTTCGTGATGGTGGTGAATATGATGGTAATACATAAGGATAATTTTTATAATCGTTACTTAGACTTCTACGATGCATACCTTTTATTCCAGTTTAAAATTAAATATGAAAAAAAGTAACAAAGAAAAAACGTTGTTGGTTCTGTTTTTAACGATGTTTGTATATGTTGAATGTATGTCTTCTTTTTTTTTCTTTTTTTTTTTCGTTGACTGAAATACATTTAATAACTAAACAATGACATACTTGTCGTCCTTTTACGGCACTTTTCTTTCGATTGTTTTTTAACTAATGCATATGTATGCTTGTTCGATTTTTACAGTATAAAAAGGCAAAATAGTATATCATTATGTTGTCGAATGCCGTTAAAATAATAGTAATTTAATTAAAAATATAATCGTATAAACTAAAACCTTCTTGTATGAAGAATTAATTCTTTTTTTTTTATAAATTATGTGAAATATTTTGAATGATTACAAATAGATAGGAAAAGAATATTTAGAAGATTGTAATTTTAAAAAGTTCATTAAAAGTACCTTTGAATTAGCAAATAAATAAAAAAAACACTTAGACATATTTTCAAGTATCAAAAACTTTAGTTTTATAAGTAAATTCTTTTTTTTACTTATCCTTGAAAAGAATGTATTTTTTGTATGTTTAAGCACATTTATTAGCGTTTTGGCCAAGAGATATGAAATGTTTTAATTATTCTTCTGCAGTGGGTGGGTGACGCCCAATCGAAAGTTCGATAAAGCACTGTTCCTCTTTCAAAGAATGATTACTCTCATAAGAAATTGATTGTTTTACAATATATAGATTTATCAGTGCAGGAAGTAATTTCTTTAAAACTAGATTATAGGCATGGTTGTTTTAGTATAAAAAACATGACAAGTCAAAGTAAGGTTGTTTAATTTTAGATACAATGCGTTCTGCTTTTATTTGCACTTCGAGTTCGTTTGTTTCTATTTTTGAAAGCGCAAGAATTATAAATCAATACTCGTTTGTTATTGAAAAACAATGGTTAAACTATTCTATATTTACTATGTCATATATGTTTTGATGATATAGAAAATTAATGGTATTAACTTGAGATGTCTAAAATGTGGAATATATTCATTTACTGTTCATGTGTTATCTACTTTGATTGAACTCATTTTATTTTTCTTGATTCAAACAACAATTATGAACTTAATAAATATGTATGTCAAAACATGACAGATAAAATTAACTTAAAGATACATTATTAATGAACTATTTTTGCTAGAATTTTATCACAGTTTACTAAAAATTTTAATTCCAATTTGAATTGATTTGTAGATCATTATAGTTCTGACTGGGTCTTGATAAGTATCTACTTTGTTCAAAGTTAAGATTAGGTTCAGGTAGATCATCATTTATAACAGGTGCATAACCCAATGGCTCTTGACGTGATTTTGAGAAATGTCCTTCCATTGAAGATATTTCTTCATTAATATCACCCATATCACGAAGAATATCTGTTAATAATTGTTCACGCATTGTACTAGCTGTTGCAAGACGTGTATCACTCACTGATGAACGTAAAATAGGATTTGTTGGTAAAGATCCATCTTCCATAGCATTAAGATTAGCTTGATAATTTACAGGTGGAGATATATCATCATATGCCCATCCTGGATCAGCTAAATTATTAAGTGATGTTGGTGCTTGATATAAACGTTGAAAACATTCCGAAGTATATGTTGGAATAAGTGTTGTGGTAGAATAAAAACTTGGGACAGTACGTTGCGGAGTGAAATCATACTGGAAATTTGATCGTGAAGACATTGAATTTATTGAAGTTAATGGATTTACTGGTTTTGATGGATCTACTGGTGGTACATAGGGATAATTTGCAAAATCAGGATATTGATTTCTTTGATACATATTTCTTTCTTTCAATTTTAAGATTAAATACAAAAAAGAAAAAAAGAAAAGTAAAATCGTTTGATTTTGTTTTGTAACTATGTTTTTATGTATAGAATATGCACATTCTCTTTTTTTTTCTTCTATTCATTGAAATACATTTAATAACTAAACAATAACATACTTGTCATCCATTTACAGTACTTCTTTTTTCGATTGTTTTGTTGCTAATGTATGTAAATGTTCGATAAATTATTCAAAATATAGAATAAAATATTGCATTATTAAACTATCAAATATGAAAGATGTTGAATATTTTATAATATCGATTTACTTTGAATTGTTATATGATGATAAAATTTTTTTTTCTTAAATTCAATACTAAAAATATCCTATAACTTGTCTTATGTAGTGTCAATGAATTCCATTTTACATAGGTCATTTCAAAAGTTTTTTCGCCCAAGCGTTTCAATAGACTTGACTAAGGACTAAGTGTAGTGCTTTGTTGTGATCTATTATTTCTTTTATACTAGTGAGGCGGGTTAAATGATCGATCTGTATATCAGTTTAATCTCTTAATAAGTTGTATAATACAATTTATTAAAAGATTGAACACTGATATCGGTATTTCCAGATCTTCCGGATTTTCTAGAAAAATTCCGGGTTCTGGATTTTAGAGGAATAAATTTTATTTATTTGTTAATATTCAAAAAACAACTTTTTTATTTGGCAGCGGCTCAGTGGTTTATACTTCTTATATATTTAGTTTACTATATTTTGATATTGATTTTCTTTCAGTATATTGAAACATGGGTTTTTTGAAATAATAAATGATATAATTGAGAACAAGATCTAGAGAAATTTATTTTAGCCGGTAAAAACTAACTGTTACAACTTTTCCGGATTTAACAAAAAAAGCGTCTGGAAATTTTCGGATTTTAACATTGGAATTCCGGTTCTCTGACTATGACATCTAGCATCACTGATTGATATTCAAAACGATCGTTTAACCTGCCTCACCAGTACAAAAGAAATAATAAACTACAACAAAGCGTATAACTTAGAAGTCTGAAATTTCGTACATAATCCTAAATATGTCTGAGCATATATGTTTACATATCTTGTATCGAAGCCTTCCATGCTATTCATATTTTCTTCTCAAATTGAACATCAAACTAATATTCATTTAATAACAATATATCAATATGAGATATTTATACAATGAGATAGATATCGATTACAGAGAAATCGAAAAATGAAACTATACATATACATAGAAAAATCTTTCACCAAACAAAGCAAAACAGAAAGAAATATCACATAAAATAATACAATTCAACTAACATATCACATAACAATCTATCAAAGTTAATCTTTAATATTGGCTCTGTCTTTTGTATAAATGAAAGTATCTGGATAACAGCAATTATGTATTACAATTATATTTATCACGAGAAGAAGGTTCTGGTGGAGGCAAATGCATTGATAATAAACGTCCACGACCACCTAAACCAAAAAGATGACAATGAAATTCAGGTTGACTATCAAAATCATCTTTTAAACGATCAAGTAAATCATTTTCGTTATCAATTGGTTTTTCATTAATTGAAGATACTATATAAAACAAAAAATATATACAAATAATTATTAAATTTAAAAAGAAAACAAATATTTTACTAGAAGTAGTTTTAGGTGGATAAGAAGCTATTTTAAGAATTGGTTTTGTTACAGATGTTAATGATAAATTAGATTGAATTTGTTTAATTCCATTGATTAGTTTCGGTTGTGAAGAATGATTTTTTATTTGAAGTCCAAATGCTTGTGCAACTTCTGTATCATCATCATCAAGAAAATATTGTGCATCAGGTGGACGATTTTCATTTATTTGATTATATTCATCAAATGATGATGAACATCGAACATGATCATATAATGTTATTTGATTCATTGATTGATATGCACGTTTAAGTGCTGGAGGTATATATCCTCGACCACATGGTATAGGTGGTGTAGAAAAATCAAGTTCTGGTAAAGATGAAACATCTGTTACTTTTGATTTTAATATATCATTTGTGCTTAGATTTTTCGACTTTTTCTTACAAGAAGATTTATTTTCCGATGATGCTATTTCTTCAAGACGTTTTTGTTCTTGAATACATGTTCGAGCATGTTTATTACGTGTTTTATTTGTTATAAAACGTTCACCACATATACATTGATAAAGAATAATATCATTGGCATCAATCGATGTTTCAATAGATTCTTGAAAATTTTCCCTAGAAAATTCTTAGTTTATCATTTAAGTTTTATTTTTGTTTTAATTTAAAAAATATAAAAAACAAACCATGTTGATAATTGATTATTTTGATCAATTAATTCTTGTTTTATTTTACTTTTTAATCGATCATAAATATCAATCATAACCGTAACATCCATGGCAGCATAATCTTTCAATGATTGTGTTAATGGTCTTTTAGACCAATTTGCACATTGTTGTTTTTTATCTAATTGACAATGTAATGTCATTGCTGTCATACGTCGTAAACTATAAACTTGTTGATCTTTTTCATTAGGAAATACTTTTCGATAGATATCTGATAATTCAAGAAGATGATTCAATTTGAATTTATGAAAACAATCTTCATTATATGAACATTTTAATTGTGCTAAATCATTGAATAATGATTGTGAAAGTTTATATGCAGTTGGATGATTTAATATTGAATAAATAAATTCATGTACAAGAGAACTTGTATGACATTCACGAAAATATTTATTTGTTTGATCAAATAATTCTTGAAGATCGAAAAGAAGAACATTTTTACCATTACGATTTTGATTTCGTACAGCGACTTGAAGAAGCGCTGGTTTACTTACTAAAAATATACAAATAAAGCAATTGATTTATTATTAAAATATTGTTGCTTAGAAGTGTACAGAGAAAAACGTTTGTAGGGAGGGGAGAATCAGCCACCGTTTGGTTACGCGTCTACTGCTGTTGTATTGAATATTCGATTCATCACTAACCGTTTATCGAAAATATTTACTAACGAAATTTTAATGTTAAAGTTTTTCTATAGATCGATCACATATAGTCAGTTAAATGATCGTAAATTCAATTCAAGTCATTCAAAGGATTCTATAAAACGGTTTACAACTAAATTATTTCGTTTTACATTTGATGTTATTGAATCCACGCTATTTTGAGCTATAAAATTATGTAAAGCCAGTGGCGGATTTAGGAGTGGGCGATGGCTCCCCTCTTCAGAAATTGTTTTTGATTTTTTAAAGCAAAAATGAACGAAAAAATAGATTCACGCTACTTCGATTGGACTCAAAAATTGTTTTTAGCCGAAATCGCCCCTATCTAGTCAGGAAACGCCCCTCCCTTCCAAAATCCTAGATCCGCCACTGTGTAAAGCAGTACTTTATATTGACTTCATAGGTTTGACCATACCCCTACTAAATGATGGCTCGAAGCCCAAGTCACCTATTTTGAAAATGGTATAGTTGAGCTTACGAACTAGTACAAAGTATTGCTATACATCATCTTGTAACTCAGACTAGCGCGAATTCAATAGCAACAGAAGTAAGTCGGAATAATTTACTTATAAAAACGTTCTACAGGTTTCTTTAAATGACTCGACAAAACTAATATTCTTATCTCATTTACCACATGAGTTTTGTTGTTGAGTTTCGTAGGATGTTGATTGCCAATTACCATTTTGCCATTTATAATTTTGACGTTGTTGAAAAGTTGAATGATAAAAGATGGGCATTGTTTCTAAAAAAATTTATTACTTCTTTATATCTATTGAATACAATAAATTGACTAACCTGTGTCAAATGCCAATAATTGAGCATTGTCGATAATTTGTTGTATTTGCTAAATAATAAAAGAAATCGATTAGTAAAAAAATCCCTCTAAATATTCTTTACTTCAAGTTGTTTTTCATTTGTTCTTCGATCAATTAAATGAATATTCCAATCTGTTGGAATTAAATAATAAGATAAAAAACGAATATCATCTGCATTCATTGCTTATATATCATCATTACCATTAAATATTGTTTTCAAGATTTTTTATTTGACTAAATAATAAAATTTCAATGATTAATATCGTTCTTTTTTTCATTCAAACATCTATAAAAAAAAAAGGAAATCTATCGAAATATTAAGTATTGAAAAAAAAATAAACTGGAAGATATTTTTATTAGCGGAAATATTCGTTAATTGAAAGACAAAATAAAAAATATAGTCAATACAACTGAATTGTTAATAAGATTTAGGGAACAAAAAAAGCAAAGTCTTGATTATTTGAGAAATAATTCAGTATAACGAGCAATTAAAATTTCTGTGAATGTATTGATTAATGTAATATTAACTAATGTATTCATATGAGCATCATCAGACCAAGCTAGAATAGGTCCAAAAACAAGTGATAAATTTGTTGTTGTCATTAAATTTGTATCCGAATAAATAGAAACCTAAAGAAAATCAAGAATAATATTATTACAAATACATTTCAAGCTTGAAAGTTTAGTGAGGTTTTACATTGAAATTAAGGGTGTCGCATTACAGTTCCGAAGACGGGAAACACAACTCCAGTACTTGTCTCAATTTCCGTTGTGTCCTTGAGAATGAGAAACGAAAACACGCTAAAAGCGCCACGGTTGGGTCCTGCTCATATAAACAAGAAAGATGAGATGCATTGTTGGTCTCCGGAGCACGAAAGGTGATACGCCTATTTGAAATTATCATTGACCATAGTTAAATACTGTTTCAGGATAAGAAATAGGAATTAATTGGACTTTTAGAAACATTAAGAGAATATTTTCGGATATAAAACCGCATCTTCGAACAATATGTAGTGATTTTTGATTATGTAGAAATTTATTATATTTGTGTCAAATTGGTTAAGCGCTTTTAATTACTGCGATCAATCAAAAAAAGGATGAGAAGTGTATTATTCTGAATGTAAGACATTAGACATATATAAGCAATCGGATCTGTCTTGTGATATTTTCCTCGCATATGCTTTCGTTTCAAAATACATGATTCCTATTCTCGGTAACTTGTATCAACGACTGCCATATTCTCCCTATTTCTCAAGTCACTTTAATAATGCCCTTTTAGTTTCTAACTCTGACTGCAGCAGATTGGATAATTTTCATAAAATTCTTACCAAATTTAAAAATTCAATAAGATATTTCAAAACAATATAATTTTGTGCTGGTAATTTTTCAATAATTAAATCACGAATAATATCAATTTGATTATGTCGTTTAAGTGCTAAATAAAACAAAAAAAATTTATCAATCAATTAAATTATAAATCATTTCAGACAAACAAAATAAAAGCATATTCCTTAATGAAATAAAATAAAATTACAAAAACAAAGTGCAATATAAATCAAATGTGTACCCCATTTAAAGCAGAAGAAAAGTTGGCCGTGGAAGAATTTTCACACAATAGTGAAGTTATGTTATTCATATACTCACTACCTGAGAGACCAAGAAGTTCAGGATATAGATGATATGTCATTAATGGATCAGTTAAACTACGTAAAAATATTTTTAGAATACATGATGCAAAATGGACATCACCATATTGTTGAAGAATAATTGGTTGTCCTATAAAACAAAATAAGATAAATAAAATACAATATTATTCTATACAACCGTCATTATATTTGTCTTCTATTTGTTTAATCAATGGAATCGGTACCGTTTGACGAAATATTCCTGGTTCATTAAGTCCTGTACGAAAAAATTTAATTCATACTTTTTTAAATAAATTTTCTCAGTACCAAAACTTTTAATATAATCAACTGTTTGTCGTATAACAAGTGGAATTTTTTCTCCTTGTTCATGTTCAAGAATACTAGATAAATATGAAAGAAAAAAACAAACTTTAATGCTATTCAAAATCTTTCTATTCTTTAATTACAATTGAAGTGAAACATTAAATTTTTGTGTTGGTTTTTGTTCCGATGATGGAATTTCTATTGGAATAAGTGGATCAATACTAAATCAAATAATTTCTTTACAGATATTTATAAAAGATAACATACGATCTAATTTCTTCCGGTATTTTAAGATTATTTAAATGAACATATTCAGTTAATTGACCAATACGATTGATATAACGAAGTTTACTCGAAAACTTTACACTTAAAAAAAACATATCGATGATATTTAAAAAAAACATAAAAAAAATTGTATGTACCTTATTATTGAACGAAGGAATGGCCAAAGAAATTTAATCCAAGCTGTTGGATGAACAACATATAAGGCCTTTAAATTTTTTTTATATCTAAATTAAATTATAAATTATAAATTTCATTTAATTATAAAACATACTTTCGTTCAATATTCCTATAAGATTTCATTAACCAACCATATGATGGTCGATTATATGAATGTAAACCATGATGAAAATATACAATAACATAATCCATATCAACATATTCATCAAATGTTCTTATAATATATCTATTTAAAATAGAATAAGATTAAAGAATAATTTTTAAAATAGAAATATTTTTTGTTACTTTAATAAACAATCATAAAATTTATCAATTGTTTTAAATTCACTATTTTGAATACGATTTTCATGTGGTAAACGACATGCTGAACAAAGAATTACTTTTCGACCAAATTTATCATCACCACATAAATCAACAATTCCATATTCACCAATTTTTTTTATTAAATTATAATCAGGATCTTCCGTATCATGTAATATCTTTTAAACAGACAATAAATTTATAGATTAAACAACTATTTTTAGTTATTACTGTTTGATGTCCACCTAATTCAGATTCAAAATCATCATCAATTATTCCATCAGGTGTTATATTGCCTTTAAGAATACCTTGATTTTTTGATGTGTCATCTATAGATGGATTGGATAATTCTAAATATTAATTTATGTAATTAAATTATTAAGATAAAATTAATAAAAATTAGTAAAATAAAGCATTATTTACCACCACCAATATTATTTTTGTTATTTTAGATTAAATTATATAATTGATTGTCTAACTGAAGATGTTTGCGTATGTCGATATTATCTAAGAGAAAGTTCGTGCAAGATAATGATTATAAATAAAGCGTTAGAATTCTATCCAGTCAATAAAAAAGCAAAGAGATTAATTTTTTTATCTTACCGTAGTCTAATCCATAGTCATCAATTTCTGTTAAAATAAACTTATTTTATTCAATTAAATTATGTAATTTCGACTTTTACCTCGATCAGCAATTAAAGTAATATGATGTTCATCATATTCAAGTTGTGGTACATCTTCAATGCTTGTACGATTTGCATTATTATCATTCCAAAACGATTGTTTCTCTATACATTGAAAGAAAAGAAAGTATTGTAATATGAATTATTATTAATAACGATAGTTCAAATTTCAATGATATTATTTAATCATTGAATCATCATAAATATGATTAGTAATATCTGATAAAGCTAGCTTCTTACAAATTAAAAAAGTAAATATATAATTTTGTATGTACTAAAAATAGCCAGATTGTTTATCTTTAGAATGATATATATATACTATCGTCATGGGTGTAAACTAAATAACTTTTTTAGTGACAAAAGCCCCAGATATATAACACAATAGTGTAAGTCAAATTGATCAACTCAATTGTAATTGAAAGTATTAGAAATCTTTTCATTCATATATCATTTATGATTATGAAAAGATTCAAATATTGCTATTATGATTATATCTTGTTTCTTCGTCCATTATATTTTAAAATGGCTACATCATCCGGATTTCGACCTTTCTCGAGATAATGAATTTGTAATCAATCATTTTCTTCAACTCAGCTTACGGATAAGAATTTTTCATAAGATTTGGGAATTTTTCTATTTATCATAAAAAATTTCGTCAGACAAACATTTTTTTTAGATGATGCTTCGAGAATAAAAACTAATTTTTAATAGATTATTTTATCGAGCTTTTCTTTTTATTTAATTATTCAAAATTTTATTATCACCTGTGGAAGTCGAATCGAATGTATCTTGTGTTGTTAAATTATGCGTATTTGTATTTGTTTTATCATCAGTAACTGATGACATAGTTATCTGAAATAAATAAACATTTATTTAAAACAAAAATATTGAATATTTTATTCGTGTATAAATATATATATATGCATTCTTTAAGATAAATGCAAAAAAAACAAGTAGTAGATTCCATACGGATTTATATGCAAAATATAAAAATTTTATTTAATGTGATAAGCATATAAAAAATATATTTATCACTATTATTTTGTTAGTCTCGCTAAAATAAACAAAGATAGACTTAAAAAATAATTAAAAATATTTGTTTTTACTTACCATCTTTTAACGGACTAGGACTTTCACATGTTTCACATGTATCAAGACGAGTTTCATTATATGGTTTATTATCACTAGTACACAATACACATGACCATGGTAAATAAATATGGTCATATTCCTCTATAAAATTAAAGAAAATATTGAAATAAAATATTTAAGTAAGAATAACTAACGTTGTAGTCTTTTTAATTCGTCGTGAAGACGTGAATTAATTTCCAGTGCTTGTTTATATTGATCATCGAATTCTAATTCCACCTATAAAAAGATAAACTTAATCTAGATCTTTTGGTTTCCACAAAAATTTTATTTACATTTAATTCAAGTTGAAGAACACGATGATCTTGAGCTAATTCAATTTCAACCACCGTAAGTTTTTCCAAATCCAATTTTTGTGCTTCAACTAAAGAAAATAAAGTTATTGTGACTTGTCTTAGCTGAAAAAAATATGTAGAAAGTTCTATAAAAATATATACTACAGGTTAATAATGTTTGAATCGTTCACACTCATTACATCTTTAGATATCAACTCTGATGAAAATACTAGTAGCATTTGTACATCAGACTATTTCGCGAAAAAAATAGAAATTACCATATTCAACATCACTAAGTAATGATCGATTTATGTTATCATATTTATCATATGAAGAATTTGTTGATGATAATGATGCTGTTAATTCTTGTGCCATTTGTGTTTCATGATTATTGAAACTATCCGATTGTGGTACACCACATTCAACACTAGATCGTGTCGATTGAAGTTCTAATTGATTATTAGATTCTTAAATAAGTAGAAAATAAAATTTTGCTTTTATAGAAATTTTATCTTACGATCATGATTATGTAATCGTGATAAGCCTAATATTGGTCGTTGTAATGGCGATGGATTAGGTAAAACTGGTGTTACGGATGCATATTGAATTTGATTCAAATCAAAATTGTCATCATTTGTTTGTACACATGGTTCCGCATGTTGAGTTGCTTGTTGATCAAGATTATCATATGGTTGTACAATTAACTCAGAATTTAAAGTTTCAACTACAAGATAACCATGATATTTCTCACTCTCATCTATATGTTCATGACGAGGCGATTTTATTTTATTTATAATATGTTCCAATCCACGATGTACTCTATGTCGATTTTTTGGTTTTGGATGATCAGTAGACATCGATAATGACTAATAAAAAGGGCACAATATTTTTTTAAAAGTCTTTTTTTAATTGTACTTGTTGATTGACGGTTGTATTGTCTGAAATATTCGATTCTAATCGAGGATTTGTACTTAAATTTTCTTCACTACTTGTAAATTGTATAAATTCATGCATTTCATGATCATCCGAATGAGTACTAGAGAAAAATAATTAATTTATATTAGTCGATTTTGTTTTTGTCTTTACCAAATTTCAAAATGAGCATTATTTAATATTAATGAAAATGTTTTTTTAATTGATTGTTGTTTTTGATATATAGGTATTGTTAGACGACGAGAAAAGCAATAAGAAGATGAATCATTCATAGTAGTATCAAAGTTTTTATTAGCTCTATATGAGTATATTATTTGAAAGCATTATTGACAATTAGCAAAATAATAAAAGTATACCTGTTAGATGAACGATTTGATATAGATCGTAACATTTTATGACAATGATTTACTAGTTTTGAATGGTGAGGAAATGTAAATGATCGTTCTCTTTTTTCAGACTCTAATGGATAATTAACCATGAAATTTTGTCAAAACGAACAAAACAAATGAATTGATTGGTATTACGATTGAATGATATAATGCAAGGTATATATATAAATCATATAATATTATATCCGACGCTACTTTCAATATGAATCGATAGCAGAGAGTAGCACTTTATCCTATTGAAATAATTAAAATAGATGTCAGAAGTATTCGACTATATTAATATAAACACGATAATCAGGTTTTATAACTAAAGACAGATACTTTATTTTAATATTAAAATAAATTTGATTACATTCTTGAATACAATAAGGAACGAACTAAGCGGCCTTTAACAGTTTTGTTTTTTGTCTAGATTATTCTTGTTGTAAGTATTTTATTGAAAAATTTTGATCTGACCAGATGATCAATTGCGAAAGTCTTTGACTACCATAGTAATATTATTTAAGTAAAATTACGAGAGAATCATATCAGATGTCTATTTCATTAATTTTAATAAAAATTCTACAGGACTTTTATTTCCTAAATAAATCTACGTCAGATATTATTTTCGATATATAATATATACAACGTATTGTGACGAGTTCTAATGGAAGAAGTGCTGATGATATTACACTTAATTATATTTCTTTTGATCGAGAATCGTCTCGATTTTGTGCAAAATATACACCGATATACCCGCCCATCAGAAAGAACGAAACAACACGAAAAAAAAGGAAAATGATGACGAAATAATATAGGGGCAAAGTATCACATGATGTATAAAATAAGGATAATACTTGAAATACGAACGGAACAAACATCGTTACACGTATCTCGTAGTAGCGTGACTATAAAATCGCTGGTACTTGGACTAGCTCACCCGTTGTATCCCGGCTTTTCAATACTAGTCAAATTGATATTCTCATAATCACAAAATTTGAAGTCATATCGTACAAAAATGTGAATCTCTCATATACCTGATGGACTCAATAGTATCATAGATACTATTACGAGTTTTATTAGAATGTTGTGTAGAATCTATATTGGTAGAAAAAATATCGAGAGTATCCTTAGAAGATCTATTGTTAAATAGACATACATTTCAAGTTATATCCGTGTGCTACATAAAATCTCTAATCATATTTATAAGAAAATTGGTTTCAATAGAAAAAAAAATATTCGATCAAAATTTTTCTTAAACTCAATATTGTTTATGTATGACATCTATCATAAGTATGAATACGAATGTGTTCATGACGACAAGTAAGAACAAACTGTTTCTAATGAAAGTTATGGTTATATCTGGATTCTTTTTCACCATCATTTTAATATATAGTTTAATATAAAAAAGATAAACTCTTCTCAGGATGCTTACCGAAAGTGAAATGAATCGTAATATTGTTCTCCTATCGGATTCAAACAAAATTACTCGTCAAAAAGCTCTCCAAAGTTTATGCAACGATTTTAAATCAAGATTATCAGATAATGATAATAATTTATCTCCTCCATCAAATACGCTCGAATCCATGCTTAAAATACTTTCCGACCCAGCCGAGAAAAATCGTGATCTAGCATTAACATATATTTCTATGTACACTACAAAATATTGTACTGAAGAAAATAGTATCGATAAAGCATTATCATTAATAATACCAGCATTAGTGCAACGACTTGGAACAAATGATATTATTGAACCATCGGAAGAAATACGTTTGAAATCTATTACACTTCTATTTGAACTTTGTCGTATTTATCCAAATGGAAATCGATTAGGATTATATTTAAATGAATGGGTAATAGTATTAAAACGTACTATTATTGATCCATATCCTGAAGTTAGAAAATTAAGTTGTGAATTAACATCAAAACTTGCAGCAAAATGTCATGAAAAATTTCATCTAATGTCTGAAAGTCTTATTAAACCAATTATTGAAACTATGAAACATCAACATGCAAAAATACGTGTTGAAGCAATAAATGCTCTTGGTAAATATTTTTAGAATTTATTTCTAATAAATTTATTTTCATTTTCAAGGAAATGTTATTCGATATGGTAATAATAAATCTGTCGAAGATAGTGTATCACCATTAGCACAACGATTTTTTGATCATACAAGTACAGTACGTCTTGCTGTTATTAATGTTGTTGGTATATGGATGCTTGAATTACGTGATCGATATTCTTATTTTCATATGATGTTACCACTTGTATTAACTGGTTATACAGATGAAATAGAAGAAATTCGTGAAACAACAGATTCATTATGGTGGGATATTGGTAAAGTTTTACACTTCATTTTATAAGATTTATTTATTTTCTTTTTTCTTGTTTAGGATTAAAATACGAAAAAGAAAATGAAGAAGATTTAAAAGATCAAATTAATTTTCCACATAATCCAAAAAAATATCCACCTAATTGTAAGTTACTAAAGATTTTTTGAACTACTTTTACATAGACAAACACTTATATTAGGCGTAAGATCAAAATCTAACTTTAACGCTGTAAGCCTATGGTCTCAATAGTGTACGAGTAGTGGCGTAATCAGGGGTGAGCGATAGTGGCGTAACCACCGGGAGAGTTACGGGGAGTGGAGCTTCCCTAGGGCAAAATCCTGGTTACGCCACTAGTGAGCAAGTCCTATCACCCGCGATTTTCTCGTCTAAAAGGATTGAGAGATGTGTTTTTAATAGAAAACTAATCATCGATAAAAATATTTTGTCTTTATTTTATTTAGTAACACGACCAAATCTTGGTTGTCGAGAATTAGTTAAACGAAATTTAATACGAATTCTTCCTGCTATACGTAATGATCTGACTGATTGGGTTGTAGCAGGACGTATAAAATCTGCTCAATTACTTGCTATTCTAACTTGGCAAGCTGAAGAAACAATAACTCAACATTTAGAAGATACACTTCAAGTTTGTTCAAAAGCAATTGTTGATGATGAAACAATTGTTCGTGAACAGGTGAAAAAATACACAACTAATCTTTTAAAAATATATTCTTTTTGATTTTGATACACATAGGTTAATCAATCATTAATTTATATTGGTTATTTTGTTCCAATAAAAACATGGTTTAATTTAATTCGATCTCATTTTGAACAATCATCAAGTTTAGGTTTACTTCGTTTAATTGCTCCACTTTTACAAGGTGTTAGTTGTGAGGAATTAATCGAATCACAAACAATTTTAGATCAATTACTAACGATTATTCTTAAATCAGAATATACTGATAATTTTCAAGTAAAAACATTTTTGTTTCTGAAGGAAAAAATCTTATTTCTATTATTTTAAAGATAACAATTCAACATGAATTATTACGTATTTGTCGAATTCTTATTGAAAAATGTCAAGATCAATTAGAACCTTATGCATATCGAATATTTAAATGTATTTTAAGTCTTCTATCAATTGTAGAAAATGATGAATTAAAACAACAGGTATAAAATTCTTATATTCAAGTTTTTTTAAATCATTTTTTTTATGATTTAGTGTAAAGACACATTGAATAGTTTAGCATTAAATAGTTCAGTTAATGAATTATATGAAAAATTTGCTTCAAAATTATTTGATGATCTTAAACAAACATCAGATAATTGGTTACGAAGTAGTCGAGATCGTTTTATATTCGAAACATTTATTATGCAAGCAGGTTACTTAGATATTTTTATAATAAACAAACAAACAAAAATACAAATGGTTTATATTTAGGTTCATCAAATCGATTTTTTCTTAATGATATTGTTGAGATCTTACGTACAGTAATGAATCCTGATCGAGATCCTGAAGTACGAAATCAATGTTTATTAATCATTGCAAATCTATTACAATTTATTGACGAAGCAGATATGAAAACAACAATTAGTCCATATTTAGTAATAATAATAAATGAATGTATTTTACCAAATATGCAATGGAAAGCAGGTCGAACAGCTGGAGCTATTCGTGCAACAGCTATTGCAACACTTTGGTCACTTTTTCAAGCTAAATCATTCAGTTTTGAACAAGTGAGTTGATACTATAGAAGTGGCTGACCATCTAACTTCTTGAATTAAAAATATTGAGAATGGGTAGTAGAGCGCTGCGAAGCCGGACCTATTTCTTTAACATAGTATACTTTTCAACAAACGAAAAGTTTCAACTATGCACTGACTTTTTTCTAAAGTACACCTTGTAGCTTCATCTGTTACTGTACACAAATACTGCTTAAAAAAAGATCAGATCTAGGCCCGCAGCTTTCGGTTAAGTTTTTCGACAAATTATAACTTGTAACTGTATGTGTTTTTTCTTGAGCATCACCAACTGACTCAGTACAGCCCAGAATATCTACTAGAACAATCAAAAACAGATGATTATAGTTGTTAGGTAGAGCTTTTCACGAAAACTTGCACATCCGTAAACTCTAGATTTGGAGCACACTTAACGTAACCGCAGCTTTCCAGTGGGTGATATCTTCGTGAAATCTAATACTCATCAATTCCATTCGTGGAATTATTTACCTTCCTGAATATTTGAAATAGTTTCATTAATTATTTATAGCTTTCATTGCATGTTATAGCATTGTAATTTATTTATATTAATAAATCAAAAAATTTCTAATATGTAATTTAGTGTACGACGTCAATGAATGAAATATTTCAATCTGTTTTGGGCATGTTAGATGATGATGATCGATTAACACGAATGAATTGTTGTTATGTTCTTCAAGCACTTTTTTCCAATGATGATGCTATTCGTACAATTGATAATGATCGTTTACATAAAGCCTATCCAGATTTATTAAAACGATTAGATGAT